CGTTCATCGCCTGTAGATTTATCGTTTCGTTCTCTTTCAGTGGTTCGCCATGAATCGCTGCTCCAGAAGAGAACGACCAACATTGTGGGAATCGAAAAAGCGCAAAGAAGAAGATAAAGGGAAAACATGACAGGAAGGGAAAGTCAAGCATGACGACCACGCACGGCGTTTCAAAACGCGAACAAACAAGTATAGAACCGATGAAAAAAGGACACTACAGGGTGCCGTAGTAACTATGCTCGTCGAAGGGTGGCCGTGATTAATGATAAGCTGCCGCGATTCGAATTTCGTGGTAATAGGATAGCCTGGATATTTTAAGGATAACCCAGGAGACACGCTCCTGGATGTCTTATCTGACGCAGGCGCTCGCGCACCGCCCCACCCAGTTGCAGGAATCGTCACCAACACAATCACGATCCTACGATAGAGTTGAATGTAATACAAAGCCAGAGACTCGTCTACATGCATGGGGGTGCACGTGGTCACGGTTGCCGGATAAATTTTATTAAACCTGGTGGGGGTGTAAAACTGCATACACGGCCGCATTAGTCTGACTATAATTTACGAAATTATACGCCGCATGCTTTATTACATGCCATTTTTGCGAGTCTGTAAAATTTCCCTGGCTTGTAAAATTTACTAACCGATCGATGAGGTTTTTGCGACAAAACAACCGCGCAAATTCCTCTCCGCGCGAAATTGTCTCTACTTCAAAACACCTATTCAGAGCTCGATACTTGGCATATTTTACATTCACACATATTACTTACACAAGTCGAGCTTTTAATATTCTTAAAATGCGAGAGGAAAGAGAATTTTATCACGATTCGTTTTAACTCGATATTTATTAACACTGTAATTTCCTTTCTACCATGAACAAAGCAAAGTAATAAGAAACCTTCCATATTCAAAGCAACTGCTTATTTGTCGAGTAGTCGTGAAGCAACAGTGGAGCACAAAATGGTAAAGCAACGTGCAAAAAGTCAGACGATAGAGGGGCAAAAAAAGGGGATGCCTAAGATAGGTAACTCTACAGTCTACAGGGATGCTTTTTAAAACGCCACCGCTTATGCGGATTTTCTCCTTGAACTGACGTACGCCTAGGCTACGCTGTAACGTCTTGTTCCCCTTCCTCGATTTTATGGCTATTGCTCTTCCCTTCTTCCTGTTACCGAGTTATTTAATCGAATCACCTAACTCCCGCTCCCTTTTGTCAAATGTTTGCTCGCTTTCAACTAGAGAGCAAACGCAGCTTGATTAACAAAAAATACAGGGATATGTCTGAGACTAGAAATCTACTGAATCTCCCTTATAAGGTTTGTTTGCTCTCATAAGTGATTTATGAAATATATAAAAGTCGAACGAAGAAATAGTACACGAACTATTGAGATTATTTAAAACCTATCCCAGGATTGTTAAAAAATTATTGTGTTGGTTGTTCGGGATTATTTAAGCATTATATTAGCGTCATTCGATGCCATTTCGAGGCCATTTACCGAAATCGTCTGAAAATTATTCAAGATCTTTTGAAAATTATTCTACGTTTCTGTACTACTTTGCTAAAAGCATATAAAAGAAGGATCTCCTCTTCGTATTTTCGTATTTTGCATCTGTAACGAGCAAGCAATAGAGAGACGTAGAACGAAATATATGCAGATACAGTGGGATTCAATAAGAAACGATCCAACGGAATCTTAAGTTTTATTGGTGGGCTAGTTTGAAGAACGGTCAAACGAAAATAACATTTCGATTATCTGATAATTATAATAACTGATCATAATCTCTGGATGTCTCAAAGCAACTACGCACGAAGAAACTTTGCAAACTTATTACCAAGTGACCTAAAGCCGGAGTAGCTTAAGATAGATTTATCATTTCTGTGTGTGGTTTAATTAGAAATTCTAACAAGCTTCGACAACAAATATGGCGTATTTCGAAAGTTCCAATGTACCGTTTGCGTGAAACTAAACAGCGAGCTTTTGGTTAAGGGATTCATCCGTGATTCTACCATCCTTTATTTATGAATGTCGGGAAAACAATGGCGCGTTATAGAGAAAATTTGCATATAAATTCAGATAGCACGGCACACGATACCTCTCGCGCCCTTAATCGACACGGATAGCCGAACGAAACATAGCCGAAGACTTACTTCGTAAGTTGTAATCGTAACATCCCCCTAAATTCATGATATATTTTTATTTTTGATATTTTTGATATTTTTTTCATTCTTTATCATATAAAAAAGTATCTTAAATAACATTCACTGGCTAAAGCGATTATGTCTAGAGGGTACTATTTTTAGTTTGTACTTAGCTACGTAGTAAGAGCATTTATATTTGTTATGTTCCTAGAAAAATCCGTACTTTACAAAAATCCGAGACATTTTATCACACGGCTGTAGTTTAAGAATTAAATTAAGTACTGCAACACTTTGCAAGCTGCTCCATTTGTTATCGGTTATTACTTCAAAAAACATAACAAATCTCTCGCTTTCAAGGAACAGAAGCAGTGAAAGAAATCTTTTTGTCTTAGGACGAATAACGAATGAAGTTCGTGTTGCATTCAGAAGCAAACACTTACGTAATTAAAGATACAATCAACGAGTATCAATCAACGCTTGATAATAACGATCGTATTTTTAACCTTTTATTTTACTTGATTATTATACTCGGACATTCTAATAAGAACAAATCTATACCAACGTTTTTTTCTCTTCGATGATAGAAAATGATTACGCAAGCCACAGAAATACGCGAGCCTCATTATATTATATGACTCGTGATAGTCGTGACTCAAAAAGAAGAATAAAATTTCTTCCGAATTTGATACTCATCATCTGTTTTGCATTGCAACGTCTATTATTCTAAGAGTCTAAATTATACTTGATACTGTTGACTGAAACGGATCTCGAGTTCTCCCCTCAACGTATTACAGTTAAGTATGGGACAAATGAACTCTTGCTTTTGTAAATCTACCCAGATTTTATTCGTGATACAAGTACTACGAAACTAACGTTAGGTTTTATTGCATTCTGGTGTTTCTTGCTTCTAGCCATTTTTGTCCTAGATCGAAAGTACACGACATCCAAAGGATTTATTGGAACCAATTTTCGTACTAGGTTTTTGCTAACTATATCGAAACCATGACAATCGTTTTTTCTCTAACCAATCATCTAGCTAAGCTGGAACGATAAAAATCTGAAATATTTCGTCGTTCTACCGATAAATCAAAAGTTAACCAAATAAAATACGATTAGATTGAAGGCATTTTAATTCCCTAATTCCCTTGCTTGTAAAATCTTAGAAACAAGCAAAGCTGTAAAATATAATAATGCAAAAATAAATATCACTTGAATAATGTTTAATATGTAAATATGAATCATAATAGGTAATTGAATACCTAATAGGAAAATATACTAAAGATATTAAATATAATGTTACATATGTAATTAAATATAAAATAAAAATAAATCGTCCTGATTTAATACGTTTATTTAGTAGAAAACTAAATTATCTGGTAAGATTAAAATTATTCGTTCGCTGTATGATATAATGATTTTAAAATATATTACTTCAAAATTACATTCCAATATAAAAGTTAAATCTGCTTAAATTAAATTATTATAATAATAATAATTAAATTATAATAATAATATCTGCGAATTAAATTATTCGGCAGAATAATTATACAATATCTTTCTTTTATCTCATCATGTACATTCATCAATTCCCGCCTTCATAATTTATACTTGTTGCATTCGCTTAAGTACACAGACTGCTATAACATTTATCAATACAATATCTGATATTCAGTAACAAGTAGAGTATAAATAAAGGCATTGTTAACGAATAAATAAAAGGATCCTATTTTGAATACAAAATGGTTAAAAATATCACAAAAATCCTTGACATTTCGTGGAGATTTGGTGGTACGAATTTAACCTCAAAACACAAATTGTTTTAGAAATTTCTGTTATGTTAGATAAAATATTTTAAGTACTTTAAACGTTTGATAACTTGTAAAGTATAAAAACTATCATTAGTGTTCTTCTTTTTGCTCTATAAAAAAATGAAATACGTTATTTATTTAGTTAAAGTTAGAATAAGTATAACAATGCAAAACAATATATAATATTAACATACTGAAGAACCTAACCCCAATCCTCTCCTGTACATATAATTAAATAGTACATTTTTATAAAGTAATATAATATTAAATAAATAAATTTTTACAGTAACAGCAGCGAGTAATGAATCTGACAACATGGGGAAATCATTCTTGCATTTAAAATTAAAATTAGAAGAAAATGGCAAAACAAGGAACGTTTTTGTAGAAATGACAATCAGTGAATTTTATAAATTTCTACATGATCTAGAAAAAGCAAAATGTAATCTTGATTTGTTACTTTGAATATCATTTAAAATATTTGATTATAAGTTAATCTTCTAACAGGATTATATCTTACAAAAATACTTTAATTGTATAAATGCAATATTACATTCAATAAAATAGTACAACTAGAGATCGCCTACTTACAGATATGTAATTATGACTAGTTCACGTAAAAATTAAAAACGTTAAAAATAAAACAGAAATATAAAATAACCTTAATATTTTATAATCATTTAAATATGTATAAAATTATTTTTATATAATCTTAATTCCACTAACTTCAAATTTTCTGTGTATCCAGTTCTTAGTACTGGTACTTGCTGGTAATCAAGAATTTGTATGTTACAGTCCAAGTGTATAATAAAAATGTCTTGCCAAATGACAAAGCCTTCCACACTAAAAGACATTATCATTTTTTGAAATTCCACTTGAACATTTATGTAGATTCTATTTTGAAAAATCTGAGATCTGAAAACAATATAAATTTATGTCAGTAATAGAGAAGTTTGTTACTGAGCAACATATAAATATATTAATATTAGAAAATTTAAAATATTAAGAATTAGATACTCCACAGAAAGTTTTAATAGCATTAAAACAGTCAGTAGAAAACTGGGAATCTTTATTTATTTTTCAATCTTTACAATCTTGGATTTCCTTACTCTCTATCATACCTTTTCATATCACAATGAAGTGGATACCTCACTAATTACATACGTAATTCATCAAATATCATAATTATGTACTTATGTTTCTAATATAAAAATAAATTTATACAATCTGTTCATAATTGCATATTTAATCATAAATTATATTTACACAGTTCAATTATTTTGTTCTTTTTTGTTTATATTAAATTAAATTAAATTATTTGTAGGCAGATATAAAATTAAAAAAATTTCTAAGAGAGTAACAATAATTAGGTTGTCAATTAATACTGTGGCACTTAAAATACTATTGAAAGGCGCCAAATATATGCAATAGAAACTAATAAATTGTTTTAAAAAATATTTAGAACTGAGATTGAATATAGTCAGATCACCTAAAAATTTTAAATACACAAGCAGAGAAAATAATACGCACTTTATAGTTCCCGCATTTGAATGTATAAGTTGGTCAGAAAAAGATGATATTTTATAATGCTCATTGCCCTACGTTTTGCAGGAGGAGGGCTAGCTACAGTACCTCTTTGATTATAAGGTTCTGCTAATGCTAATGCAGGATTTTTTAAATCTGTTGACGAACTTGCTTGTAACTTCTCTGTTGAAAGTTCTTGTAAGGCTTCTTTCGCTTTTGCTTTTTGTTGAATAGATTCTAACACTGGTACAATAGCACCAAGTAAAGGACGTTTAGATGGTTCTCCAGACCAACATTGTTCCATTAACTTCCAACATTCATTGTCAAAAGAAGGTAATCTTTCTGGACGTATACCTAATAACAATGAAAACAATACTTAGAAAAGAGGAGTACAAAGCTAAATAAATTCTTCAAGACTTATAAACTTACCTTTTCTCACACTAGTCCATAATAGTTCTTTATTATGGAATTGTTCAAAAGCATATGGTAATCTTACATGTCCCGCGCATATGTACCAAAATAAAATTCCAAATGCATATACATCGACGCTACTATCATAATGACCAGAGAGGAGCTCTGGTGCCATATGAACAGGTGTTCCAACAATACTCCCTAACATCATAACTTCAGTGATGCAAAATCCAAAGTCAGTTAATTTTGCTCTATTTTCGGTATCGAGAAGAACATTTTTTAATTTAATATCCCGATGTACAAGTCCTTGAGAATGAAGATAGCGTATTCCTTCCAACACATCTAGAGCTATTTGTATGCGTTCTAACCAAGATAAACCAGCGCGTATTCCACAATATAAATCACGACTTAAACGATCCGATATTAAAAGAACTGCAGATCCAAGACCAAATCCTCCACCATAAGATTGATCAATAATTGATCCACGAAGCTTCACTATTCTTTTATGTTCAGGAATGGACCTACTATAGTAAAATTCCATAGCCAGATCATTCCAATGGCTTTCGTCTGAAGGAACAACTGACTTAACTGCACAAGGACCAGATGTGCCTCCCCAGCCATCAGAAGCAAATACAATGCCATATTGACCACGACCAATTTCTTCTTTACAATGGGGCATTCCATAGCGAACAAGATCTATCATTGATGTGGATTCTAATGCTAATTTAGCTAATCTAGGAGCATGATATTTTCTAATAGCTATTCTTTGTTCTTCAGTTCTTTCTAACTCCCCAGAATAATAATTTTCTATTGATCTGAGAGCAGCCTGAAATGCATCATGTGAGGACTCAAGTTTATCTCCAAATTGCATCAATATCATTTTAGCCAACTTTGATGCTGATAAAGAATTCAATATCTCAATTTCCACTTTTTTCCACCAAGCTACATCTAGAGTGTGAGTTGATGACCATTGCAAAGATGAAGACATAAAAATCAGATTGAATCTTTCTAAAAATGAATATATTGAAAATGGTGAAGAGTTATGTAATTCAATATTATATGCAGCTGAAAGTATTTGTTTCAAAGCATCACTAGCTAATAAACAAGTATCGCATTCGTATGTTCTTTCGAGACTCAATAAACAACGCTGTAAGGTACCAAAAAAGCTTTCACGTAAACAGTTAACGGAATTTACAAGTTGCTTTGCAACTTTTTCACCTAAACAGTAAAGCATTATTCTCTGAACTTCAGAAATTGCAGCTTTGACGGTTACAGACCATTCCGTCCTCTCTTTATTATTGAAGTGGTTTTGATATAAACATACATCATTACTAGATGATAATACATCATTTTTCATCTCTTGAATAATATTTTGTATTAATCCAGTTAGTTCTTGTTGTTTTTCATGAACAATTTTCATTAAATTGTCATATAATTCATTTTCTTTCTGTTGAGCATACTGTATTCTCTTAGGAGTTATTTGAATTATACGTGCCATATCAAAGGCACTTAAAATAAACTTTCTTAGGCTCGTTGTATGTACTTCATTTAAATAAGTGCTAGCATTAATAAGGTATGTTTGCAAACATCCACGAATGAAATATAAAATTCGGTCTGTTTTTTTGTATGAGTCAAGAAAGTCACTAGAGCTAATACATTGCCCACTACCGAGCCAAGATAATTGATCAACTTCAACAGACTCTTTCATTCCAAGGAAACCTAAATTTGCGAGCTGATCCAACCATGTTAAACCAAGCGAATTCATTCTATCAAAATCAATATCACCATCAGTATTACTTGCTGTAGAATCATTAGAACTTAGTTGATTTTGAAGTCTATGTTGCTCAGATTCAGTCAATTCAGCATCAATGCCAGTCATTAAGATATCTCCCAAAGATGATATAAAAAGTACTGGATTAAAGGGGTAAGACTCCCTTAGGTCTCTTAGCTCTTTCAAATTTTGTTCTGTTAAAGGTTGATCACCAAGCGCATATAAAAATATTGGTAAAATAGATAACAACTCTTTTTCAAGAACTTTTACCGCTCCAGTGTTTGGAGCAATAAATATTTGAACACCATCTTTTAATATAGGTTGGTTTAGTTGGACTTCAAGTACTGTTGGATAAGTTGTATCTTCACTTCCAGATTTTGTTAGATCTTCGATTGGAAGTGTAGTCCAAGGTTTTTCATTTGCTTGCAAATTTTCAAGTATTTCATATTCTAGACCTAATGTGAGACTAATGTGGTTTGTTTGACCATAAGTAAGCTTAATCCACCGCCATAATCCATTACATACTGGTAAGATATTGGTAGATATTAAAGTATTAACTATTGTTGCTTTTGCCTTGTTATCTTGTCCAAGAACTACAATAGCTGGAGAATTCGCTAAAATATGTGTGATTCTGTCCAATGTTAAGGGGGGTAGTAATTCCTCCACAATATTTTCTGTAAAAAAATATTTAGGTAAAATTTTATTTTGATCTTAGCGAAATTTAAAACCTTCAATATTTACCTCCAGGAAAGAAATTTTCTAGATTAATAACTTCTAAAGTACGTTGAGTTTCTTCAAGAACATGTTGTAGGTGATTTCTATTACGTAGATATCTTCTAAACTCTTGTGGTAATTTGCTTACCATTTTTCAGTCTTGTTTTAAAATCTTTGGCACTTCAAAATTCTGTTTACCCTGTCAAAAACATTTTATATTAATACAAAAGAATTTCTAATTTTTTAAAAACTAATTTTGTGTAGTTAGATTATTAATATAAGATTTATATCATTAATATAGTTAGCTTCCTAAATTATATTCTTTCTATTTATCTTTATTTTTTTTAACAAGAATGTACTGAGTATAATTGTTAAAGTAAATATTCTACTAATAATAGTATGATTAAAACTGAAAATAGTTTATTATAATGAAACCAAAGCACGTAATATACAAATTATTTTTATACATCGTTCATATGTTACTATAATATTTTTGGTAGAATAAAATATGTTTAAAAATGTTTTGAGAACGTTTTTAAAAACTGACACGATTACTACATTACTAACGATTAAAACAGTTAAGTTATTAACAATTTCAATTGAAGAACTATTTATTGAACAATTTTTATTAATAATAATAATGTTTCTTTGAATATTTTGTTATTCACCTAATATCAATTGTAATCTTTAATTACCGAAACTATAAGTACTATTGATATGTAATAAATATTAAATAATTTGGTACAAAATTCTTACCATAAATTTACACGCATTCACAATATAAATATTAGTTAGAAATTCAGGCAGTTAATCCAATAATATCAAAACTTTTTATCACGGAAAATTATTATTCAAAAATGATAATCTCTACATGAGGAGTATATACACATCCAACACATAGTGGACACTAGGGGCAGTTGTTTTGACTTAAGCGTGTAAATGGTTTATTATATCTATGTTCTCATTCTGATATTGATTACAAATGAGAAGAAAATAATAAATTGGATGATATATTGTACGCATCATTTATTTGAGGTGATACATTACTTTAGCATATGCTTATGTATCCTTGTTTTATGCGATTAAGAAAATACGAACAAAGAGTATAGAATAAACAAGATTCCCCTTACTTCACAAGATAAAATGCATAGATACATGTTAATATTTGCTAAGAATTTATAACTGTAGTGAAATGCATTTATATAAATGTTTATTACCATAACTTATCGAGTACTTTGTAAAAAATAATCCACTGCAGTATATAAACATAATCCCTACCAGTGTCTTATCTGCGACATATTTTTTCACATATAATAAAATTTATGTAATGGAAAGAAAAAAGAGGAAAGTATTTTTGTAATTAAAATATGAATATTTGAATGAAGTTTTAAATTCCCTTATTTTTAAAAATTTATTTTTGAATCAATGAATTCTTTATTGATAATACGAATCTTTTACGTGCAAATTGTCAAAGAATAAATACATAATTACATTACATTATACAGGTCGAAGTACTCTTTATTCCATGAAATTATAATATATATATATATATATATATATATATATATATATATATATTTTTAGCATTTATAAGAATATGTAATTATTCCAACCATTGACTAAGTGCTCCAACTTTGAGAACATTTCATGGTAATATTCAACAGCAATTAAAATTTGAAAATGTGAAACCACGTGAAAGAAATATTTCACTACTTTGCTACGCGATCATAATAAAAATACAGCAAACAGTTAATTATAAATACCATTCAAGAATAGAATTTTTTATTTTTTTCTTTATCCCCAGTCATTGTTGCGTAGAATTCACTTTCTGGAATCTTCTGCAATGTGTGCTGACTTAAAAATTGACGATTTTTCTGTTGTTATTACCGAAAACGACGACGTACACTACGATTGACTCATTGCTTTGCTCTTCCATTTCGTTACTAACATGACAAGGTGTAGGCAGGGCTGAGAATGTCATCTGTATACAAGTTTTGTATCTTGCTATAACCTAGTGTTTTTATTAACAAGTATTTGCATGGGAGTAGTTGATGAACTCGCAGATTGCTTCCAGTAGAGTACTTATGCCAGCTGCCGATACTATTTTAGTAATATAAATTGAAATTCAAGTTGTAATTTGAGCGAATAATTTTATATTATTTATTAAGCATTACAAATGGTTAAAAAATTAATTCCGTTGCTGAACAATGAATATTGAAATTAAAAAGTTTCTGTAAATATAATTCGATATATAATATAAATCGATAGATTAGAAATTCGACTTAATTATATTCTGTCATTTTAATTTTTATATAAATTCACTAAATAAATATATATTATATAATATATATATGTTATATAATACTATATAATAAATAAATATTAAATAAATAAATTTTTGTTCTAATATGAACATTACTGAAGTTAACTCGTCAGTGAAACCCCAGACGGGGTATATCGGCAGTGAAATGATTTGATGTAGTAGTCAGTAAAGCAGGTTGCAAGTGAATTGCTTCCTGCATTATCTACATTTGAATTGAGACATGTTGATATGTTGCAGATGGCTCTGTGTGTATCGCGTCTCTGCATCCGAATACAAAAGTTAAATTTCCCGCGTTTCTATTGTTGTAATCTTTTCTCCTCGTAGCGTCGGACTATCGTTTGTATTCAACAATTAGTTTGTGAGAATATAGTTGTGCTCTAATTGTAGTACTATCGATCAATTGAAATATGTGAGTATCTATTATCCTAAAAACGAATATTCATATTGTTCAATTCGTTGTTCTTGTATCGTCACAATTTGTGACAATTATTTATCTTTAGTAGTTTTGGTTAAGTTAGAATAAATTTTATGCAATTTCTTAATTTTCCATACGTCTTAAGGTATAAATTAGGTTTGTCAACGTAAATATCTTCGCAGTTACGAGATGTAAAAGATGTTGTCACTTTGTTACTTTTATTGTTAGGGTTAGATTATCATAGCTAGGAACGCCGTGTCATATTTACGTTTCGATGGCGTGCATTTTAGAAAATGGTGGGTACATTAAAGTTTAAAATGTGCTTACAATAATCGTGAACAAAAATTCTGTTACAATTACGATCCGTTTTATGATCAGTTTTTAATCTAAAAAGAAAAATTCGCAAGTGTAATCAGTAATCAAATTTATTAGTTTCTATTGTCTTGGGGAGCGATATTCTTTTCCGATTTTATGGTGTGGAAAGACGATATAATAAGGAGAGAGCTGCCTCGAGCGGAGCTGCAAGTAACGAGGGAATAAGAATGGCTAGGCAACCAGGGGTGGTACAAGATTTAGTGGACTCGCTAGTAGCCGCTAACTTTGCAAGCTACGTCTTCTTGAAAGTATTAAAGCAATGTAGTGTGAATGCGAATAATTTTTTACAGATAAGGGTATTATTTCTCATATTTGCTTGTAAAAGTTAATTAAACATTTAAAAGCTTAAAGATAATATAAATTCTACCACGGAATAGTATTAAAAATGAAAAGAAATCACAGTTTCAATCATCTAGTCGGATTTGATTTATGTTTCAAAAAAAGGAAACTGTTGACTCAGGGAGTATACACATAATGCAATAAAAATAAATATTCCGAGTCTATACTGGGTAGGATGGTAAAGTATGAGAAAGGAGATAGAAACTGGATAGAAGGCGGAGGCTATGATGTCGTTCCCCACGTGTATATTTCATAACGATATATGTATAAAAGCGAACATTCTTTAGAATAAAATCGTTTTTTATTTTTATAGATTTCATACGTGTTTCGCGTGTGTACAACGAAAATCGTGATCAATGATCTTGGTGGCAACTGGTTTGTAGCAAAAGGTACTATAATTTTCTAATTCTTGTTCCTCTCTATCCTGTTATGGATTTTTATTATAAAATTTAATATTTGTTTTTTTATTCTCTGTCGTAGATAATTCAGCTACAGAATGAATATGAAAGTGTTAGAACAACTACTGAAGCAGATTACTTCTATACAAAGGACTAAACACAAATCTTATGGTCGTTTCGGGCAGTTTAATTCCAAGATCTGGATAATGGATCCCCGGATGTACTTTCAGGGTTGCTGTTCCGTGAGTTTCAGTCTATCTTTATTTCTATTTCTCACGATATCGATACATTCGTACACTGTGTTCAATGAAGAAATTCTGCGTCATATTAGAATATGTCTACAATATTTCATTTATTATAACTTGACTACGGATATTTATGCAAATTTATATTCTTATGAATGCAAGTACTTATCTACCTGAATACCTATTTAATATTATGAGGAATAGATACTTCGCATTGAATGCATTTCTGCAACTTTATCCAACAAAAATCCGCAGTGTAATTATAAGTTTAAAAATTTATCTCGGTATACTACATGTTACTGTTTATGCACAACAGAGCTTTTTTAATTTCTTTCTAATGCAACTGTAATTTATTATATGTATATTTCCAGGGCAATTTATTTTTCAACATATCTGCTTAATTTCAATTAATTTCATTAATAAATTTTTTAACTCGCAACGTGTACCAATGTAAAACGGTAGTCGAAAAATGAAAGTTTGATATAATATCGAATTCAACGTCGAAGTTTTCTAACTAATTGTTCATAATTTTATTAATATTAACAAGCAATGCTTAAAAGATTTAATAGGATGAAAAAATAAGCCGTATGAACGAACGCGTTTATTATCGTAGATAAAGGTACGTGAGGAATGAAGATACACAATGATCTGTTTTAGCGTTCAGGCGGAGGTCAGGATTTTCAGGAGCGTATAATTAATTTCCCATGTCACTCGGAGCCCTTTCTCTGCTCTTCCTCGATCTGCCCCACGCAAATCCCCCGAACCACGACGACAATATTGCTGGCCATTTCGTTCGACAGTGCCCAAGCGCCTCAGTAGTTCTCCTCCGTTCCCGAACCCCTTTTCAGAGCTAACCCCACGCAGAGAAAGGGGTGACTTTACGAACAAGCATCTAGCGCCGATCTCACCCTCCGTCCTCTTCGATCTAACGATTCTTCCTTTTCTATTCTTTACATACCGACCCGTCAATATCAGTTTCCGTAATTAAACATAACAGATCAACATTCGACATTACGTAACCAAGCTTCCTCGTTTTCTATACGGACGCGTATCTATTATTGGTATACTCGAGCACCGGAGCGTGTGCA